CCGAGAGGTGTCCCAGAGGCGTCCGAGGGGGGAGTTGAACCCACGGAAACGGGGGGGGGGGGGGGGGGGCCCCCCTACATATGAAATTTTCACATGATGCGGCGATCCCGAGGATTCCAGCCCCTCACTTGCTAAAGCAAGGACAACTCCAGCTAGCTGGTGCTAGCTTTCGTGAACAAACAATGTCTGTTTTGCTGGTTTGTGTTGTTGTTTTTCCCTATTTTGCTATTCTACACCACCTGCACAATCTCCACATCTTAGTGAAACTCCAAATCTCCGGCCGAATGACTCCCCAGGAAATTCTAGAATAGTGGAGATCGTGATATTCTCGAATTGGATTCAAGGCGGGCGTGCGGAGGCCCCGATCTGCAACAGATCCAAAGTTGAATCATTAATACCGTTTGACATCAGGATAGACCAAGTGATACAAAAAATGATACCCACCATGATACCATGAGATGAAAAGATGGTCGGTTGACATCTTGAAGAATAAAAAAAGGGCCCCAAGGACTTGACCGGCCATGTTTATTCAAAGACCGTAGGATTTGGAGGTCGTCACGTCCATCCATGGTCGTCCATCTGAGACGCTCACGGGGTGACATGGTCTCTACTCTGGGCAGACCTTCGTGGTCGCGGCCGATCTCAGCGCAAGAGAGAAGGAGTACACTCCGACTCACCAACGTGGAAGTGGAAAAGGATCCCTTGGAAGACTTTCCTCTACAAACAGTGGCTTTTCCACTTCCATGTGAGTGAGTCGAAGGTATAGAAATGCAGAGCATCAGACAGTACCGGGGCAGAATGTAAGGGGTACACCCCCAACGTTCCAACGTCCGGAAAAGCACTGTTTGGTCCAAAAAAAGTCCTGGGCTACAGCCAGCACAGCATGTCGGTGAGTAGTTCCACTCAGATGTGTCCCAAGCAATGAAGAACCTCGAAAGGACCCAGATGTGTCCCACTCCTCAAGAGCATTTGCACAACATGTCCAAAACGCCATCTTGCCAGTGGTTGAATCGAATCAGCGATGTCTGTCAGGTCAAGAGGGCAGAGCTTCAAAACTGACCAGCACCCCAAACACTACAAACCACGATCTCCCCAATCATGTGGTTGATTTCTTGATTGAACAGCTTAAGACTTAAGGCAACTCTCCCACTGCTCGCAGGTGTCCTTTTCACGCCTTGGCCGTCCTTTCCCACGAAACAAGACGTCCGAGCCCCCCTCCGTCCTCAACGCGCACGCGTGTGAGCTGAACCGAAAGAGCTGCAGCGCGCCACAATGCAACAAAAATGCGGCAAGGAGCGCAGACCTCTGGCACCAAACAAATTCACCCTAGGAAATGAATGAAGTGAACGGATTGCGGTGATTACATATAGACTACATAGAATTGAAACAATGACATCTCCAAGGTTGTTGAACACTGACCCCACCACCCTTAGCATGGCTGGCACCTGTCTCTGCTGCAATGGCCCTCGCCAGCATCGACTTACCACCTTGGCCGGACGGTCGGTGGAAAAGATGCCCACAGCGGACCTTCTCGTGGCTCTTCGGCTGTTCATCAGTGGCTTTTCGTCCGAGAAACGACCCTAAACGAAGCATGGACGTGTTGCTGTTACCGCAACAAAGCGTGGCGGCAAGCTGAAGGCTGTTGTGCTGGGCCCACCACTGCCCTTGGGTCCATAGAGCAGCAAAGACCTGCTCAACCACTGCTGCACGGGGGTGGGGTGTTGGGTGTGATCGCCTTCCGCGCAGTCTGTTCGCTGTCAGGAACTTGTGTGACTTCCTTTGGAGACCTTGGGAGCCCATTTCTTAGGTACCTTAGGTACAGACACTCGACCGTGCAGCTGCTTCTTCTTTCCCATCAAGCACTGATCTCTTTTCGCCAACACAAAGATTCTGGCCCATTCTGGGGCAACAGTCAGATTCTTTGGCGCCTTGCAGTCAGATTCTTTGGCGCCTTCTGACGGATGTCCGTCTGTGCCTGGTGAATGCGGGTGTGTCTCCGTCGCCCACCCCACCGCGGAAAAATACGCGGGGCACCGGTGACCATCTGTGCACATCCATGAATCCATCATAGTTACTGAGAGATCCTACACTTGAGTCTTGTGCAAAGATTCCTCGTCTGCAGAATCACTGAATGACTGCCGAACCGCAAAAGATACAAACTTTGATGGGGATCTATGAGGATTTCTCCAGAACCTCTCAAAGAGTCTGCTTTCGACCACAGACCATTGCTGAGGCCAGTCGCCAAGGGAAGAACGCAGTGCTCGACCAGCAACGACCTCACCGGCCATGCGATGGGGCCATGCGATAAGCCAGGCGGCAAGCTCTCGGATCTTTCGGCCAAGCTCGAAATGTGGGATGAACATGGATGAATTAGACCCCCCAAAGGTAACTTCATGTAACTTCTATCGCGGAAGAGCTTCCAAGGTAAGGTCACTCCTTCGCGGAAACAAAACCATCATGCCTTAAGTATCCGATCTCCACAACCCGCACCGTGAAGAACGACCAAACTCGATGTGTTCCCTCGATCTTCGGGCGATGGAACCGGATGGAACGTCGCCTGATCATCTGCGCTGAAGGCGGAGGGCAAAAGGTGTACTGCGGGCTGCGTTGCATGGCCTGGGCGGCACTGGAAATGCTAGCAAACCTCTGAAGATCTCCGAAACCACACAAGAATGACACCAGTATTGCTTCCGGATCCCTTGCAAGTTCATGGCTACATCACTGGTTACATCTTAGTTCCATCAGCGCAAGGACGAGACCCTTTGAAGGAAAGGATGCATCAAGTGTCCTTCACTGAGTGCTGCACACCCAAGAAGTGGTACTCTCCGAGGAAGTCCTTCACTTTGCCAAAATCAGGCCATTGAGTTGGAAGCGAGAGCGAAAGCGAGAGAGAGAGAGAGAGAGAGACAGAAAGAGACAGAGAGAGACAGAGAGAGACAGAGAGAGAGAGAGAGAGACAGAGAGAGACAGAGAGAGAGACAGAGAGAGAGAGAGAGAGAGACAGAGAGAGGCAGAGAGAGACAGAGAGAATTAAAGAAACACACACACAATAGTAATAGTAGTACGTAAATGTATGTAATAATAAGTACTGCAGGAATGACTGATTGATTAAGTCAGTGACTTGGACGGACGGACTCACCACTCGCTCTCTCACTCACTAGAGTGAGTGAGGGTGAGTAGTGAGCGTGAGTGAGGGAGACAGAGCAAGGGAGACAGGGTTGGTGGCACGTGACTTCAGCATAAGAGTCTATCATCGGAAAGCAAACGCCACCAAAACGGCCTCTAGCTTGGAGGGCGTGACCTTCTTCAGAATACCTTGCTCCACTAGGTCTGGCCTCAGCTTGAAACTCTTTCCTTTCACGAACATCTGAACGCAACGTGATCCAGCAAAATCTAAAGATGAAATCTCTAAAAGAAACATGCTAGCGAGGGTGTGATTCCATTTCTATGTCTATTGGGAGGAAGGTTACCTCAGGTACCTCATGGTACCTCCACCAAAATCATGTCCAGACTTGACCGCCCTCGAGACTTGCAGTACACTCCCTGCTCAGCTGAATGCACGCAGTCTTCGCGGTTCGTGATCATGCCGACCTTGGTCATCGAAGAAAGCCCATGCATATACTCAAGATGAGCGAACAACCAAAAACCAGCTGTGAGTCACATGAGTGCGAGTGAAGGGGGTCGTAGAAATAAAAGAAATAGAAACAACAACAACCACGACCACTACCCAAACGACCCCGTCATGGGTCGCTCCAGTCAAACCCACCCGCCGACCCCCAAACTGGACCGCTCCAAGAAACCGCCGCACACCACTTCTTTGGTGGCTTCGGCCTAGGCAGATCTTGGATGTCTCAGGCTGATCTTCAGTTGTTTTGTTTTTGCTTGAAGGACATCCTGGAGGAGGGTCATGGATGTTCAGCAAATAAATATCGGTTGACATCATTTAACTATTGTAAATATCTACTTCAGCAATTAATACTATATCGTTTCAGATTGATTCAGGACTCCAAAAAAAAATGAAGCTGTCATGTTGGATGTCCAAGCGGTGAAGCCGAATTTACTCTGATCTGAGGCAAGGTCGCCATGTGTGTCGGAACATCTCTATGTTCCATGGAGAACACATGACATGAAGACAGGATATCAAAGCCGCGCCCGTGTGGAATGGCCAAAAAAGGCTAACCCATGCTAACCCATTGAGAACAATGAAACCGCGTCCTCCCTTTTTCACCATGGACTTGGTGAAACTTCAACGAGTCTGCATGTTCTGCCCACATTTCAGGTGCACCCCGCACCCCTTTGGTGAGACGTGAACAAATCGAAGGATCCCCCCCGTAGCCCCTCGACTGCTCGAGGATCCTGAGACCCAAGAAGTCTTAGATGTTTAGAGATATGTTTCGTGGTTTGGGTCGTAAAACCCTCGAAGCAGGAAACCCACAGAAGTTGTTCGGGTCTCTTCTAGTGCGGTCAAGGCATGGAGAACATGGATCCGTTCAAACCGAGTGCGGTCACCGAGTTGGACCACAAAAGTGATCGAATCCGACCGATGATCTTCGGAACTCACCACGTCGCCTGTGGATCTTCGGAACTCACAGGACTCATTCCCTCCTAACATGTCAGACAAGGCAGAAGTGTTGATCCTATATGATTCCTAAGATCCAAAGGTTGCTCTCTTCTAACGCTTCAACAACTGTATATATAGCTACAAAGGCTCGCCAACAGACGCTCCCCTACTTCTCCACCACAGCTGCGGGAGCCCCCTTCACTTCTCCAAACCGCTTCCACCCAGTCCCCGAAAACCGTCGTGTTTCCAGCCCTGGGCCACCAGACTTCTTCGGCTTCTTGAGTTTGGGCGGCTTCTTTTTCTTCTTCACCTCCCGGGACGGGTTGGATGGGCTTGAGGTCCATTGAGGTCACCGGGCGGACATCGGCCCATCGAAAAAGCCCATGTGAGCCCCGAACGTGGCGAAGGACACGTCAAACTAGTAGGGGGGTTCTCCACCAAACTGCTCGGGACACGTCAACGTCTGATGGGGGACATGGCTCGATCAATCATCCTGTGCATACCAAGCGATGGGGCGTTCAGGGTCGTGTGTAAACGTTCAAGAGTCAGAACTTCAGGTTTCGACCGGCATTCCAAAGAGAATGAATCCAGGCGAAGCCAACTGGAACGGTTCTTACAGTGGGTTCAACATCTTCAAAGAAGTCCACCCCCTTTCAGATTTGCTTTTTGACCGATTCCACACCTCGTCATAGAGCAGTTTCAGGTTTGCGAGCTCCTGCGGTCACCCACCCGCTCGCGGTCCGCTCATAGTGACCGAGCAGTGACCGAGAGTTCTGCTACCGGTCCCGTGGTTCGCAGCTTGAGCTTTCACATCTGGAAAATCATCTGGAAAGGAAAGGAAAAAAGCGTTTTGTATGACAAATCATGAGAATGTTCTGCCATCAAATTGAAAAAACATCTGAAAAAGTTCAAGTGGAAGGGAACGTCTTTCAAGCTCAAGTTAGGTTCAACCTCATGATGAACGCCTCTGGTTGAATAGAAGGTCCAATGGATATCCTCGAAGAGGTTTCAATTGCACATGGAGTTGAGTTCCTACCGTGAGAGCCATCGCCACCATTCGGAAAAATGACTGACAGGGTCAGGGCTGGGGGGGGGAGTCACCGGTGAATGATCCTGATGTTTCTTGGACACGAGGCAACACCAATTGGACCAAAGACCGGTCAAGGACGAGGCCAGGAAGACCACCATGGATTTCCAGGGATCGAGCTATCCATGAAATCCGGGTGGCCAGTGAAATTTGTCAAGAACCAGGTCCACGGCAGGGACTTCAGAATGTGCCATCTTGAAATTTGCCAGACTTCCCCATGGAGACTTCGCGTGCCAAGTTCTCCCACACCCACTAGGGCTCACCCACCTCCATCTAGGCCATTCCCAACCCACCCATCACTTTTGAAAAAGGATACATCCAATCTGGACTCGCAAATTGAGACGGGTTTTGAGTCGATTTTGCTTCGGATCCAAACCTCGGCTTTGAACGTCTTCGGGTGAGAGAAGCGTGGCAGCATGGGCAGGTCCGTCCAAGCCCAGAAGAGGCCTAATTGATCCTAATTGTAGCCATAAGTAACCAAAAGGCCCAGAGAAGCCAAGGAAATCCAAATTGGAAAAGGTTCCCAAAGTCCAAGTCCAAAGGCTCAAACTCAAGTTCCGGAAGCTCCAAAATGCGCAACTGCCAAATGCATTGGGCCAAAGGCTCGAAAGTTCTAGTATCTTATAGTTACGAACAAAACGAAAGAAGGAAGTGAGTAAACGGTGATCAACATATACATTTATAACATATTCTAATAGTCTAACATATCACAGGTATGTGCAATCCGCGTCCAGCTTCCCACCGCTCCCCTGCTGAACTTTCAGAATCCTAAACATGCAGCGCATAAACCAAGCGAACACTCTGCAAAGACCCATCACTCCAGATGATACACCCCATGCTGGACATTGCTGGACTTGGCCACACTCGACTCCTATCCAGGGCCCCAGAGCTCCTCCCTCATCTGGTCATCCACCAGGGCTCTCAGCTCCGCCTGGTCCACCGGTTCATCGCTATCGCTCACGCGGTCTGCACATGTCTGCACTCCGTGATCCGGTCCAGTTGAGTTGGAAGTGAGGATGAAAACCAGAGATCTGGCTGAGTGAACATGAATGTGACTGACTCTGACTGACCCCCCAGAAACACGCCATTTTTTGGCGTCACAGTCTCCTCTCACCAGCTTGTGTGCAACACTGGAACATGTTGTGTCCGAGACTGGAGGATCCCAAAGTTGAATTTCATCGGGGGCTAACCCAATGGAACCCGCCCCGCATCCACTTTTTGCCGCCCTCCTCCCAACCTCGCCGCCAGTTTCGTCGCCCGTGCGTTGTCCATCCGGCCTCCACAATGGGATAGACCGACTTCCTCGCCAACTCGAGGTCGTGTCGCTGATCAAAGTTGTTGCTCTCGTCTTTGTTCTGCCCAAGACACCGATGAAACGCCCCCGGCATGGCGCGAAGCATCGAACGCAGAACGCGCGAGCGGACGCGAGCGGGTGGTAGCGAGGGGTAGCGTAGAAGCAGTCCTCTAAAAAGCGATGTCAGGCCTGTTTCGTGTGGACCCCCCAAATAGATAGAATGAATCAAGTAGGTATCCCCACGACTAACGCCGCGCCAGTATCTATTTGGGGACCACTAGATTGTTTGTTTTCCTTCTTAGGTAGCCTGCTCTTTGACATTCAGCAACATGTGACAGGAACCTAGGAACCCAGGAACCTACCCTTTGAGAGAGATGATCACTTAGAAGGTGCGGCCTGCGTTCTGTCCACAGTGGATGAACAAGTCAACAAACAAGGGGTGACTCATAATTACCTGAGGATTCCAAGCACATCTGCGATTCCTGAGGAACCCTAGCACATCAACCACGAACTCGCTCTCCAATCCTCACCTCCCATTGCTCGGTGTACTGCTTGATCTGCTCCACGAATTGCTGCACCACTGCCGAGTAGCCCACACCCACCTTGGAACGTTTGCGCCCCACCCGGGCGCCTTCGTCCGTCAACCGTGCCGCGCCCGACCCGGTGGTGCCGAAGTACACCGATGGAGCCCCTGGCCATTGGTCCATGATTTTTCTGCTTTACGAACCTCGTTGGGTGAAAACACCTGCCACCCTGCTGGCTCACCTCTTCATTCTAGAGAGAATACTTTGGCTTTTACCGGCAATCTGCCCTAGTGAAGTGGATTGCTTGCGACAAACTACTGGGCGCACGACCCCCGGTAGGCCGTGGCGTTTCGTGAGGATCGTCTAATTGAACATGCGCACGGCGCTGTAGCGCCACTATCATTTTCAAAGATGCAACTGCAGATTCCACGTTCTGGGAACTCGCAAAACTACTTCTTTTTGCACTCACCGGCTCTGCTTAGCGACTTTGCACAGCTCGTTCATTATGTTGGCCCCACCGACCTCATGATGTTGGCCGACGGTGTAGACCGACGTCATTACACCCCCTCACCCCCCACCCCCACCCCAACAATTTGCAGCTCTGACCGTCAGCAACTGTCCATGTCGTACGTGTTGTTGTTGCAAGTAAGCACATTTACAGACATCAGAGAACTTCTAATCCATACCCAACGTGGCATCAACTTGGCAGATGGCAAAAACGTTGAAACTCTCCACCCAAGGGTACAACTTAGAGTGCAACATAGCAAACATTTGGTGACTTTAATTCACATGCGAGGAGCTAGCATCATGTTATGTGTGGTCTGAGATATGTTTCAGATACGATGAGCTAGCATCATGTTATGTGCAATCCGAGATATGTTTTACTGTTGTGCAATGCATGCAGTCTGAGATATGTTTTAGTGTTGTGCAATGCATGCAGTCTGAGATATGTTTTATTGTTGTGCAATGCAACGAAGACCTGGAGCTGGGATGCAAAAAAGCGTCGAAAAAGTCAAAATCGCAAGAAAAACACACGGCCTACCGGGGGTCATGGTCCAACTACTGAGGTCTGCCCTGTCAGATCTTATCGCTTTTCAGGTCGCTCTCATTGCCGATCCAAACAGCGGAGCCGCAGCTTTTTGCCATTCGGCATCGGTTCGGCGGTTTGGTCTGTGCCGCACGGTTTTGCTTGGCAGAGACATTCTAAGATTCATCTGTGCACCATGCCTGGAAGCACGACGAAGGCATAAAGTTATCCCTTTGCAGGAAGAGCACTTGCTCCAGGGTCGTTCCAGCTGAAATAGACCTGTGCACATCGCAACAACTCCTGGCACCTGCTATTGCGGTGCAAACGGCACATTCGTGAGACAAGAGCTAAGTTAGTGCCTCCGAGGTTCAGTGCAGAAACTGCAGTCCCACCACCTACCCTGTTTTCACTTCTCGTGGTGAGGTTTGCTTTACTTTTTGTAGATGAGGACTCTGAGGACCCCAGAATATCCTGCTATATATGGTCGAAATGAATTGATGTTCAATTGTGATTGTTAGTTGGATTAGACAGGCAATAATCAAAACATCCAAGGTTTCCGTTCGGGCATGTGCATTTGGATGTTTTTTTGTTGCGAAACTCCACTGAACCTCAATGGCTGTGATCTACAGCACGGTGGGTCAATGTGATGTGAGTTGGAGCCCAATCCTATGAATCCCGTATTGATTTATATGGAAAACGCAGCTTCTGAGCAAGCTGAAAATGGAACTGGTGGAGTGGCGGCTCCCTGCATGTCTTCAGCTCAAGTTGGCTTTTCAGTGGCAAATTGCACCTCTGTTGATCAAAGGCATCTCCACCCTTCTCTGCTACCTCCACAACCTCTACACTAGTTTAACAAAAATACCTCAAAGCCTATTTGACCCGGGGGTCGCGGGGAAATGCCCCCATCCCCGGCCCGGAAGCTGTTGTGGGGCAAAACGGAGGCATGGCGGAACTGCTCCAACTCAATTGCTGTGATTGCTTCCGCTGCGCTGCGAGGACGCATCGGGCGCACCTGGGAGATGGACCGATGACCCGACACTCCCGGTGACTCTCCCGTTGGAGCCATGGGCCGTTTGGCATGGCACCAAAAGGAAGAGCCATGGCACCGAATACAAAGAGGGAGTGATCCACTTCCGTGTGAGCCGTGTTCTTTTTGCATGGTCTGGGGGACAGCCACTAGGTACCCATACCTCCGCGAAGCTCATGTGAGTTCCAGGGAGTGTAGTGGTCAGCTTGAGGGTTATTGGTCGAACAACAACCCTGTGGGCCAATAAGTGCCCCAAGTTCGGACTAGCCCTTGTGGTTTTTCCCAATGCGCCCATTGAAATCCCATTCAATTTAACACTATTACTATATATTAATATTGGTTGTATAATGAATAGTGAAGAGGGTGCCTCGTGCTTTATTTAAAGAAACCCCCTTGCGGCTTGCAGAAATGTCCAGCTATCTCTTGACCCTCCTCATGTCACGAGATGTTTTTCATGACAAGAGCGCATACTCCACTGGTGGGGCAACTTAATCACGGGGCAACTGGTTCAGTTAAGAGCCATCCAAAACCGCAAGCACTTACTTACTTATGCACCATCCACTCCGACTCGGCTGCTTCACGACATGTCAGGAGAATCCTCCGGGCCCATGTAGTAGCGATGGCCGCCAACCTAGTAGCGATGGCCTCCACCCTAAGAGCAATGGCCTCCAACCTAGACCTAGTCCTCTTCCAGCCCATCTACTCAATCTACTCCTCCCCTTGGTTTGAAGAGTACCCCCACGGAGGTTCGCTCGCATGGGTGCCGGCTTCTCTGGAGGTCGCGCAACCTGGCGTGGTGATGTCCAGACAAATCATCTGGAGGGAGTTGAGGTAAAACCAAGATAAACAAATCATTCACTGTGTTGGGACATCTTTCAACCGCAAAAGCCTCCAATTCATGTTCACCAACTTTGAACACCAAAAGAGTGGGATTCATGATGACTCATGTGTTCATCTCAATCCCAAAACCTTCTCCAGTACTTGTTCATCACTCGAGGAGGATGATCTGCCATTCATGCTCCGTGAGAGCCGCCCTGGGTCCGTGCTTCACTGACCGTTCCGATCTGAAAAAAGAGACATGACTCACACATGACTCACTCGCATTGACCCGTGCGGAGCAATGCTTCGCATGACCCGTCGGATCCCTCTCATGACCCGTCGGAGCCCGGCCAAAACCTCCCAGCCATCGTCCGCTCCTTTTTTCCACCGCTGACGTGTCCTGGGCGAACCGAAAGACATCGTGTTTTCTCCACTCGCCGTGGGCCCGGCCCTTCTCGTCCGTCGCTCCAATCGGGGACCCTTCTCCGTGTCCGGCGGAGGTGCTTGGCGTCGAGGACTGAGAGAAGGCCATACACTCTAGTCGTTGGACTGCAAGGAGAGGACTGCTGGCTCCTCACAATGGTGGTTCGCCGCTGAAAAGTTCTTATTTCGGAAAGCCTGCAAAGAGTCGGAAAATGAAGGCGTCCAAAGATACAACGGACACCAGTCGTTGCTCAAGGATCTAAACTCGCAGTGTAAAAGAAGTGATGCGATTTGTTTTCCAATATGCACCATTTGACGAAATGTTGTTGATTGAGTGATGCATCCGTAGAGAATTAAATGCGAAGAATCAGTATATTATATATACAGTATATATATATATACTGATACGGGTATCGATCCCAATCCTTCTGCCGCGGCCGCATCTGCATGTCTTCGCCCGAGACATTCAGCAAGAATGCCAAGAGAAGGGCCAAAAGGACTGGCAGTAAAAAGAGCCAGGAGGGCAAAGAGGAGGCCGGGCCTGGCGGTTTGAACTGGAAAAAAAGGGCATCACTGGTTCTACCGTGAAGTGAAGCCGACAGCAAAGACGAGCCGCCTGCTTCCTCATCTGCGAGGTCTAAGCCACTCCTGAGATCTCGAACGAAATCCGCTGGAGAACTGAACTCGAGATTTCAACCTGTCGGCAAGTCATTCCCTTCTTCTCCCCCAAAACTCCAAACTTTGTATTCAAAAAGTGTCAAAAAATAAAGCCCCGTATTAGGGTCGTTGGGGGATCCCCAAAAGGCAGAGAGTCCACAGAAATCAAGAAAAGAGCTTCGATGCTTTGGATTGAGAACCCAATCAATCATCGTCATCGTCGTCGTCGTCGTCATCATCAACAACAACAACAGCAGCAGCAACCAACAAAACTACGACAAAAAACATCAAAAACCATTTCATAGGGTCTCACAACAACATCTTACACGATGTCTTGCTCCACACACGGAGGTTTAGGAAAACACGTGGTTTACACGTTGGATGGTCGGTGGTCGTGTTGTCCAGAGCTTTCAGATCTTTCCGGTCTGGGATCTCCCTTCTCTGATCAAGCGACAGCTCTGCGAAGCAGCTGGCCTGCTGCTCAATCGCTTCCAGAAGCAGCTCTCTGGTACCTCTTTGAGGGAACAGTCCAATGGCATTTGGAGCAAAACCATATACGGACAGTGCATCTCAAGTTTCTTTGTTGATGCGTTCGTTTTCGCAAAATTACTGCAGAAGCCTCGGCACGGAGCAAAACGGAGGGTGGCCATGGCGGATTCGGTCCGACGGCGAGTCCCTGCCCCACCTTCATCGCTCAGCAGCGCATAGGCCTTGCGCACCCGCTGGAAGCGCTCCTGGCCCGTGGAACAGATGAAAGGTCTCCAGCAAGACTCAACGGTCCACTCAACTACCCAAGAACACCGAACGTTCTATCCACTCATTTTGGATAGTGGATAGTACGCCAGATGGGGGGGTCTACAAGCATAACTCAACAATTGGATGCAATTGGTGATCTTTGGGTTGTATAGGAGGATGCATTAAGTGCATGTTCCAGAAATTCCTAGTTTGCTGCATGAAGTGTCTGACAGAGCGACTGTTAAACGAGTAGATTGGGCGCTTGGCATGTTCCAGGTGTCGATTGGGCTCTATTAAGCCTTCTTTTTGCAGCAAGCTAAGCCTTGAGTGCTGAACACACGTGTGTTCCACGGCACGTTAATCACAAAGATTGTCAATCAAAACGGTACTGTACTTTTTTGGCAGTCACGACTCATTACTGAAAATCGACTGCCTCACGCAGGTCAACCCAGAACTTTTTCCCATCATCCAGTTTCACACACAAAACACTACGAAATCGAAATCCCGTCAACATCTCTTGCATGCTATATATATAATATATATATAATATATAATATATTATATGTATATATTTTATATATATATATATATATGCAATGAATGAACATTGCGACTGTCAGCAGTGTGACGCCTCCAGTCGACATTGGATCAAAGAAGAGCGAAGGTCTGCTATCACGGTCGCTAGTCCACCGTAGAGCTTAGAACCACAGCTCTTAGTCCAAAGGACCTGAGCATCGGTGAGCTGTGTCAACCGCTTACATGGTAGCGGAGCCCAATAGTGGCATCCGAGTAGGTTAGATTTTGTAGCAGCAGGTGCTTGAGCCCCTGTTTTTGCAATGGCAGCGATTGAACGCAGCAAAGAAGGTGTGCCCCAATGGGACGGCTCCGCGAGCACGTTCCAAGAGTACAGCGAACTGGCTGAGCATTGGGAACAGACCATCCCCTACCACAAGCGCTATCTTTGCGGTCCCAGGCTCCTGAATGAACTCTCAGGCACCGCAAGACGCTTCATCCTGTCCAAGCGCCCAGGATGGCTTCCCATGACGGTGGAGTACAAACCTTGCTGCGCCACCTTCGCCAGCATCTCGGCCTGCCTCAACTGTCCGAGATGAGCGATTACATGAATCGCTACTTCAAGCAGAGCCGAAGGAAGCGCAGTGAATCGATGAACGAGTACATCACCCGCAAGGCAGAGCTCTACTCCAGAACCGAGCAGACCTTGCAGCGAGCTCAGACCCACTACGCTCCCAAGAGGACATCCTCCCACTTGGCATCCACCCCGGAGTCGGGATCAGCCTCTCATGAACCAGAGCCTCACGATGAAATGCAGTATCATGATGCCCATGAAGAACAACCATCTGCCCCCTCATCATCGGGGCAGGAAGCAGCCGGAGATCCAGGGACTAGAACTCCATCGCATCATGACCGTCAGGAATGGCAGTGGCGCACGTGGGGAGACTGGGATGCACGAGGGTGGGATTGGTCCGACCATGGGTGGAGTGACCACTCATGGAAGCATTCGACACGACCTGAGCACACCTCGACCGAAGCCGTGTCCCGGGTGCAGTTGCTACCGGATTTCGTTCAAGGCTGGTTCCTTCTCCAAGATTCAGGCCTGGACACCAACGAGAAGAACATGGTCCTGGCAGCTCTGAAAAGTGATGTAAGTTTCTCAAGTGTTGCTCAAGAATTGAGCGACCAGTGGAATGATGACGACCTCCGGAAGAGAGATCAAGGAGGTCGAGCCTCAGCATGGTCAATCGATGAAGCCACCGAGGACCCTTTCCAGGAGGACATGGCCAGCCAGAGCTACTTGGCCTACACTGGACTCAATGCTGATGGGATGGCATTGGTGAGTGAAGCCGAGTCGGAGGCCCAAGAGGCCATGGCTATGATGGAAAAAGGAAGACGCACCCTTCGAGAAGCCCGAGCTCGACAACAATATGTGAAGTTGAGCCGACAGTACTATGGTCCTCCTGGCCGAAACCCCTTGAAGAGCACTACACCCGTCAAGAAGGAGAATCCCCACAGCAATTCCCTTCGATGCCTTAGCTGCGGAGGCGGTCACAAGACTGAGGACTGCCCAAAGAAACACAAGAGCTTCGCATCTGAGCGCAAGGCGGATGAACCTCAGGCTCCTTTCATTTGCCTGCCCGATCAGGTCTTTGCGGCCGTGGGCGTGGGAGAAAAGATCACTACCCGACAGGCTATGGAACAAGGAAAAGCTGTGGTGGACGGTGGAGCCACTCGTACGTTGGGCTCCGTGACCGCCTTGGAGACCCTGATGCGCCTGAACCAGCAAAAGAATGGCACTCCTGGCCTCGAAAAGCTGGATACTGAACAGCGTCCAACGTTTGGATTTGGGAATTCCTCCCGAGACCAGTGTTTGTCAACGGCATGGATGGCGATCCAGGCCGGCGGGCGGCAGGGACAGTTGAAGGTCCATACCTTAGACAAAGGTACCGGACCCATTTTATTTTCCGTAGAAACATTGCGCGCTTTCATTCAGCTGGAACAATCAAGTTCCGGCCACCAGGATTGGTACCATGCCTCCACTGCAGTGAGGAGCCCGGTACCCAGTTTGAAAGATTTCATCTAGGGACAACTCCTCTCTCATCTGCCGTCTGCCAGAGAAAGAGAGGTCGCTGCAACTGCAGACTTGGGTGAGCAGTCTATGTTAGATTCACGTCAGTGTAAGAAACATGTCAGTTTTGCTTTGTCTTGTGAAACGTCGTTGAACGGAAAGGGACATACATACAACACACACATGTCACCACGGCAATCACCTCTTGAACCACCACCTCATGATCTTGAGCCACATGAACACGCAAAGCCAGCAGCAGCCGCACCAGCTCGAGAGGCACATTTCCGCGAGGTCCACAACACTTCCGAACCCAGCGTCAGTGCCGATGTCGAGCATGAAGAAGCCCGAGCTTGTTCAAGCCCTGAAGGACTTGGGCGAGACACCACCCAAGGAGTGGACCGTGCTCGAACTCCATGGCCGTCTTTCAGAGTTGCGCCAGGAGAAGGGACTGCCAGAACTGGAGACCAAGAAGTCCCGCACTCCACTCCGCCAGATGATGGTCGACCTGAACAAGGCTCAACGCCTGAAGGCCGATCTGGTCAAGTATGTCTCCGGCACGCTTCGAGTTCCACTGACCGGCAACGAGACGGTCAAGGTGCTCATGCAGAAGGGAATGGAGGCTGTATATCAGCAAGCTCCGGCATCTCCTCAGGATCCCCCATCGGATTCGGAAAGCATGCCAGCATGCGCTACGAGGAGCTGTGGCAGACACAGCCATCTTTTATGCCCAGTGGGCGATGGACACCTCCTGGGAGAACGAGGGTTCAGTCCTCGACTACATCGACTGGCCAATTGGCTGGAGGAACGCAAGAAGGTGATCGACATTGCCACACCCCGGAAGGCGGCAGCTTCCTCCGGAAAGATGCCCACCGAGAAGACCAAGCCGAAGGGCATGATCGAACCATCCAAGACATCCTCCGGCTACGTGGAGCCGAGCCAGTCCTCCGATCCGGAGACCATGAAGATCTTGCAGATGCTGGCCTCCACAGTGGTCGAATTGAAGGAGGACATGGCTGTCCTGAAGGGCGAGCCACCTCGCAAGGGCCAGAAGTCCACCAGCTCGGAACCGACCGAGCACAGCTTCGAAGTGATGGAGCCAATGCAGCAGTGAGCCTGAGGCACCGTGACGACCTTAGCGGTCCGGAACCTAGTGTGGATTTAGAGCCAGACCTTAGTGGGCCAGGCCGATCTGAAACACTTAAACCCGGGCATGAGTAGGCACTTGAGTCAGAAAACGGAAGCCTTGTTGCCTGACACCATTCAAGCTCTGGCCACACACAATAGGTGCATTTTGTTGGAAATCGCATGCAGCCAGGAGAGTATTTTGACTAGAACGATGCAGGATATAACTGGCTCGGAAAAATCGGCACAGCGGCTTTCATTGTGGAACCATTTCGATCTGAGCACCAACAACGGCATTCGTTCGATTCTCGATCGTATCGACCAAGAACCTCCCCAACATGTTTGGTTATCCATGGAATGTGGCCCCTATTCGGTGATGCAAAATGTGAACCAAAGGACCCCTGAACAACAACAGCCTTTGGAGGAAAAGAGGAAAAACGTGCTGAAACAGTATGTTGGAGGGGCAATTGTGTATCAGTATTGCATTCAAAAAGGAATCCACTGCACATGGGAGTGGGCCCAATCGTGCCAGGCCTGGTTCAGCATATCATGAAGCGCTATCAGGTGTACTTTGCTATTACTAGAGGCTGTCAGGTGGACCTCAAGGACCCGAAAGGACAATTCTTTTCGAAGGGTTGGAAAATGATGACCACCAATAAATACTTGGCTCAAAGAATGGAACTCCCTTGTGTTTGTCCGTCTCATGCCACGTTCCATGTGAAGGTTCACTGACTCGGAAAACCGCGTTCTACACTCGTCCGTTCGCGAAGCGCGTGTGCGAAGCGTTGTTGCAAGGTAGTTCCCCTGGTCAAATCCAAAAAGAGTTTGAGGGAGACTTTGACATGTTTGGAAAAGGGTTGCAGTGCGTTTGTGAAGAGGGTCTCCGACATGGAGCGGCCCTCCAGTGTGGCATGTGTAGGAGTGACCTCCCCGGAGCACTGGCCTCCGACCAACAGGAAGAGGTCCCCTGTGAGCTTTCCAAAGAAGAATACCTTTTGCATTCCGCCACCGGACACAGCCCCATCAAGTACATGGTCCAAGCCCTTAAAAGAAGAGGCGTCCATTCCACCATCATTAAGGAAGCTGAAAACTTCCGATGTTCCGTGTGCATTGAGCGTGCACGTCCGCAGCCCAGGAACATCTCGGCACTTGAGCCTCAACCCACCAAGTTTGCCACTCTGTCGGCAGACATCGGACACTTCGCGCACCCGGAGTTGGGGGAACACGTTCAATTCGTGGTTTTCGTGGACGAGGGTTCGCGTTTCCGTGTGTCCCGGGTGATCACTAGAGGTAAGAAACAACATCCGTCAGCCGCTCAATTCATTTCAGTGCTCAAAGAAGCTTGGATTGCTTATTTTGGGATTCCCCTTAATTTACGAGTCGATCCGGACGGTGCGTTTCGTTCTCATGGTTTGGCCGACTTCTGTGACCAACAGAGAATTTTCCTGGACATCATTCCAGGGGAAGGTCATTGGAAGTTGGGTGTATGTGAAAGAAGCATCCAAGCCATCAAAGAACTCCTACAAAAGGTATGCCAAGATCATCCCGATTCCACCATAGAGGATGCATTGTCGGAGTGCGTGCGAGTGTTGAACAATCGAGAAGTGGTCAGGGGCTATTCACCTATACAGCATGTTTTGGGTAGGGCACCTGACGACACAGGACGCATCTTCACAAGAGAGTTAGGACAATCACCGGACATCACATTGGAGACACCCACAACAGAACATCAGAAGTCAGCAGAACTTCGACTAGCAGCAGAGAAAGCCTTTTTGGATTGGAATAACAGCCAACGCCTACAGAGAGCAAGCAACTCGAAGCACAGGAGACTTCTAGACTTCAGTGCAGGTGATTTGGTCTACATATGGAGGAAACAGGTGACAGGAAAAGATGCTAAACCAGTCAAAACCACCAACGGAAAGTTTGTGGGGCCAGCCAGGATCCTTGCTACAGAAAACCGGAGAGATGACCAGGGTCATCTAATTGCAGGATCCTCTGTCTGGCTAGTCCGAGGTCGTCGATTGTTGAAGTGTTGTCCAGAGCAGCTCCGACATGCTTCAGAACGTGAAAAGATCTTGGATGAACTTCATGCAGAGGACTCACAACCTTGGTCATTCCCACGAGTGGCAGGTGAGTTGGGTGGAAACGACTATGAAGACTGGTCAGAACAACCACCAGAAGAAGAATGGAGAAGGGCAGGTGATCCACAACATGAATGGCAACCAGCAGTGAGGCAGAGAGGGGAAACGACCTATGCCTCCAGACTATGAGGTTTCTTCTTGTCCCGAAGGATCTGCCAGCAGCAGACTACGAAGATCCCCAGAGTTTCAGGAAGACCAGCCGGACGTTGAAATGAACCAAGGAGTCACACTCCAATCACCACCCTGTGGGTTCCAGTCAGGCCCTGATTGGACTACGCAGGTCAGAGAAAGTGCCTACCTGTCAAGTGAAGAAGAGAGCTACTGGAACCAACATACAGCCGCCATCACCATCGAGATTGACATGCCTCAAACCCGAGGAGCCTCAGAACGTGCGATCAAGAACCTCAGTGCCTTCCTGGTCTCAGCCATGAAGAAACGAGCAATTGAGGTTTCAGAAAAGAGAATGACAGAAGAAGACCGACAGGCCTTCAACAAAGCAAAAGCAATCGAAGTGTCCAACTTTATTGCAGCAAGAGCATTTGAAGCACTTCCAGCAGGCTACAGGGGCAGAAGAGAAGATGCTGTCCGTATGAGGTGGATCCTCACCTGGAAAGCTCTCCCGGACGGTGGCAAGAAGGCAAAAGCACGGGCCGTACTCCTGGGATACCAAGACCCCGGGTACGAGGGTAGAGCAACTACCTCACCAACCACAACACGACAGACCCGACAGGTGCAATTGACTATAGCAGCAGCAAGAGGTTTTCAGACCTGGAAAGGAGATGTCGCAGGGGCTTTTCTGCAGTCCCGTGAATATCCAGATCAGCTTCTATGCATTCCCTGTCCAGAGATTCTGGAAGCTATGGGATTGGCCGCAGAGACTTTGACACGAGTCCGGAAGGCCTGCTATGGTTTGGTCGACGCACCACTAGAATGGTATGTATCGGTCGATTAGTGAGTTTTTCCATGCACAAGGCCTTCGTCGTTGTTGGTCAGACCCGTGTTGTTGGACCTATGTCTCCCAAGGAGAGTTGCAAGGCCTCATCTCGGGACACGTTGATGATTTTGTTTTCTCAGGAAATGAGGACCATGCAGGTTGGAAGTCAATTTTGACAGCAATACAAAAGCAGTACAAATGGTCAGACTGGGAAAAAGACAGCTTTGTACAATGTGGGGTTCATGTGGAGCGATCCCGAGACGGCACATATGCTCTGTCACAAGAATCATACATTGAAGACCTGAAATACATCAACATCAGAGCTCACCGCAAACAAGACAAGCATGGAGCTACTGACGACTGGGAGAAAAGTCAGTTGAGAACCTTGCTGGGTGGAGTCAGTTGGCTAGCGCAGCAAACCGCTCCTCATTTTGCAGCAGAAACTAGTCTGCTTCTTTCAGAAGTCTCACAAAGCACCGTTGAAACCTTGCATCGAGCAAACAAGCTGATGAGTCAGGTCAAGTCCATGAAGGAACATAAAATGTTGATCCCAAAAGTGAACTTGAAACACTTCGGTCTGTTTGTGTGGTGTGATGCTGCCGCGCAAAACCGGACGGATGGTGGTAGCACCCAAGGGTTTTTGATAGGAGCCGCCAGTTTGGAACTTTTGAAGGGATCTTGTGAGGCTGTTTCCCCCGTTTCTTACAGTGTGTAGGAGTCCTGGAGCCAGTGAAACGGCAGCAGCAGTCAATGCTGAGGATGCCCTGTTCTTCGCACGACTCCAATTCTCGGAAATGCTCGGTCAACCCGTTCGCATTCGGGCCGTGAATGAATCGGTCAATCGGATTCCCGGATGTCTTATCACGGACTCTCGAAACGTATTCGATAAAACGAAGACTGAGGTGATCTGTACTAAGGGCAATGAAAGACGAGTGGACATAGAAATGATGTGCCTCAAACATGGACAACTGAGGAATGGGGTCATCATTCGATGGGTACACAGCGATGCGCAGCTCTCCAACTCCTTGACGAAGAACGAGCAGAGACAGCTGCAGATGTTCTACAAGATGAAGCAGCACTGGCGCATAGTACAAGACATAAACATGGCTTCAGCAAGGAAGCGAAAAGAGCAAAACATGGATCCACTTGAGAACAACCACATTCCACAAGACACCACACAAAACATACAAGACACACAGTAGTCCCGGACCGGAATCCGACCGTGCTCCTCGTTGTTTTTCCTGTGTTGGTTGGTTTGTTTCGGCTTCGTTGAAGTTTTTTTTTACGTGAATCTAGCGCCTCGACTGCGTAAAGAGGGAGAAGGGGGGCATGCAATGAATGAACATTGCGACTGTCAGCAGTGTGACGCCTCCAGTCGACATTGGATCAAAGAAGAGCGAAGGTCTGCTATCACGGTCGCTAGTCCACCGTAGAGCTTCGAACCACAGCTCTTAGTCCAAAGGACCTGAGCATCGGTGAGCTGTGTCAACCGCTTACATATATTATATATATATGTGTTATATATATATATGCATTATATTATGTATTTATATATATATATATATGTATGTTTTATATATATTATTATATATATATATATTATTTTGTATATATGGCCCCAAAATAAAAGGTAAAGTCCCTTCAAAATGTTCCAAAATGTGTTGGAAACCATGCCACCATCTATTTGGGGACCCTCCTCCACCGCGGGCCTCGGCGTCCGGCGCCTGCGAGGTGTCCGGATGCTCCACGCGCACCGCGCGGCGGTAGGCCACACGGAGGTCCTCCTCGTCGAGCTCCACGTCTGCCTGACCCGTTCGGAGCCCCAAAACCACGAGGGGTGGAGGTTGATGGAGGTTGTTGGAGGTGTGGTGGATCCAAGGTGGAGATCCAAAATGAGGAAACTGACCAGGATCCAAAGTCACAAGCCATTAGGCCATCAGGTGTTCAAGTGGGGGTCGACCTGGCTTGAATGAAGTCCAGGGCAAAACTCAGCATGGTGCAGATCCAAGCACTTGGTCTGGCATGGTCTGGCCAGTTCTTCCATCTCCACGTTGGCCTCCAACCCCAGCGCGCGCCAGGGACCACAGAAATCGCCCTCAAAATCCTTCAGCGCTTCCTCCAAGTCTTCAGGCAGCATGGATCCTCAGACCCAACTTCATCCGGGCACCATCGGTACCTCCTCTTCTCAAACCGCCTCTAACCACCCAAGAGAGCCCAAGATCACCCGAACATTCCAAATAAGTACACTTGCAGATCAGCCACGCAACTCCTCCGCCGCTTGCCGCTGGGCCTCCACTTCGGCCGCTCGCACAGCCTCCGCCGCCGACGGCGGCTCCGCCGATGGGGCGGCCTTGGGCCGCAGCGCGGCACTGGCCGCGGCCACCAGCACCGCAGCACCGAGCACCGCCACCGCCAGCGGCGCAGCGCTGGACGCCGCGCGGCATGCGAGGGAGGGGTGCCGCGCGCGAAGAAGAAGGGTGAGGTGGGACGAGTGACCTGACCAGTGAAAGCTCGGAGGGAGTGGTAAGGTGGCAAGTTGCTTCTTCGGGGTCCAAGAAAACGAATTTATGTAAGCCCTCGCATCACTTAATCCTGTTGATCCTCCTTCATATCCACAGGACTAGGCCTATCAAAGGATGGGAGATACGTTCAAAAGGAACAAGACTGAAGGCATGCTGACTTCTGGTAGTCCAAAAAAACATGATCCCTAATCCCTAAACGGCCTTGTTGCTACTGAACCCCGACCTTGTGCTCGCCGCAGCCACCTGCCCCCGCTCGCTGCAAGCTCCTGCATTGGTTGAATCTCGCTGAGCAGCTTGCTTACAGGTGCCTAGTGGAGGAGAGGGGATGGTTGCCCGTTCCACGCATCCTGGATCGAATGCTTCGGACAACCACCCCAACTCGGAACACTGTGCTTTCGGTGACGCAAACCACTGAGGTCGGACTGAAAACCACTGAGGCATGCGACAGTGACCTACTGTGTATTGGTCCATGTTCACCCCGTTTGAATCCACGGCTCCTGGCCCATCCTCGGCCGTGCGAAGAGATCGGCGCCTCGCTGCCATCGTGGAGCTTCAAATCATCAAATCCGTCGGATGGTAAGCGACTTGAAACGATAAAGACCCCCCCCATATGAAGGAGGTGTGTCAATCCAAATGTGGGGGGTTCTTAATCAAGAGTCTACATTAGGTCCAAAGACGTCTTTTAAATATGGGGGGGGTCCATGTAAACCACCTTTGGAGAATTGTGCCATCTACTCTGAAACCACTGCAACTCTTGGGCTTGTCAGCCACCAATGAGAGCAGCATCCACCCATCCACCTGCACATGGGACAGCGAGAGTCGTTGGCGTCCACTTCGCTCCGATTGGGGCAAACCATGGCGGCGGCCAGGCCGCATTCATGCTTTTGGAGCAGTTGGACTTGCAGGAGTCTTGAGTGTGTGGCTGAGCGAAGATGAGTGAAGATGAGTGCCTCAATGAGTGTGTGATGGTGCGTGGTTCGGAAGATTGATCTCTTTGGATCAGCTTCTCGTCTACCAAATTACAGCCACGCAGGACAAGCAGTGGAAGCGGGCAGATCACCACTCGGTCAAAATCACGCACGGTTGTGGAAAAATGAAGCCAAGCGTGGAAGCTTCAGTGGATGAGAGGCCTGCCGAGGCCTCCCAAATTTAACCAATTGCCTTCCCTGGCTCCTCCTTCCCTCGCGCCAGCGAACCCGGCCTGCGACCCCATCTTGCGTCGTAGCCTTGCACGTTCCATCACTGGGAACCTGGAGAGTCACCACAACAAATCGAAAGGCATACGCCGTTTTTGCAGCGTCGGCTCTTTCTTCCTCTCGTGGATTCATGGAAAAAATCATGCTGTCTTGAAAACCAACACTTCGCTGAATGAGCTGTGTGGCAGAGCACGTGCAAAGACAAGTCACACACCTTTTGGGCCATTGGATTCAGAAAGGGGCTCTCCCAACACTGGCGGAATCAATCCTTGGTGCATGGGTCCCTTCCTGTTCACGGGTCCAATTTCGTAGGGGTCCCGTCCATCATGTTCTTTTTAAGTGACTGATGCCACCATCACCACTCCTCACGTGCGTTTCTTTGTTGGAAAAACGGCGCACAGGATAGTCTCGTTCAGCGGCTTGGAATCGACGCAGCTACAGACGTGGCAGAAGACCTGAGGCGAAGAGTCCAACTCAGATGGACTAAGAAAGTGTCCACCAGGCAATAAGACACCACGAATAGAGACTTATATAGTAAGGTCAAGGTCTATATACTATAGGAATGTCTGATGAACAATCCAAACATGGAGTAGGGTCCCGGGTAGTTCTTTGCTTTTCGTGCGAGCGAGCGCCGTTCCATCCAGTTCTGCCACGTGGCATTGCCAATGCCATGCGAGTCTCGCTTCCGCTTGCACTTCGAGCAGGTCTGGTTGGATTCACTGCGCAGCAGACGGGAGGACGGCGATGTGGGGTGAGGCTTCGAAGACTTGTTTTCAGGATTCGAAGACTTGTTGTGCCTGAGAGTTTTTAGTCTCAGTTCACCATCATAGACAGCTCCTTTTCCCTCTCTATTCCTCATGACCACGGTTTTCGCGCCTAAACCACGGGCTCAACTGCGGAAGCTTCCCCTCGCCGTCCATCCAGCGCTTGAAGATCTCCTGCCAACACTTCCAACGTCCGCGAGGAATCGTCCACCAAATACCAAATACTTGGAGGGTCTGGTAAACATGTAAACACCCATTTCTGTGCCTCAAAAAGCGTTCTCAAGACGAATCGAACGAATCGAACTTGAAGCCAGCCTTGCAAAACGTAAAAATAATCGTGAAATATAGTGAAATCGTGTTCTCATGGAGCACTGCTTTACGTCCTGCTTGTCCTTGAGCAGCTGCTGAGAAACCTCGTGCTCGACTCATCACACGAATCTTCCCCGCCAGCTAGGGAGAAATCGCTTGGGCACAAGACACAAACACAACAAAGGTATAAATGGCCTTCGAGGGGTGGTTTTTGGACACCCCCCAACGGCTAAGGGGCTATAAATAGACACCCCTTGGAGGGTCCTGGTATAAATGGCCTTTTCTACTCCCATCTCTTGCACTTGGATTCTTAAAAAGGAAGAGGGCCTGGGTGGCCTGGGCGGCCTGGGCTCCTCTTCTTTTGGGACCGAGGAGAAGGAGGCAATGCCTCACAGCGTCAGTCTCGCCACTTCACCCGCCTCGGACCGGATCCCACCCGAAGCCGTTTGGCCTCACCCCAACCTCTGGCAGAGACGCCACAACTAAGATCTGAGCGGTGACATAAGATGCCCCGTCCGGCCAATGCTCCTGCGAACGGAGACCGTCCGACGGAAGGCGCCCGGAGGTCGGTTTGGGAGCGGTGGCCGGGCCGTCTGCAGAAAGAGGTGTGGGCCTGGCCTGATGCAAGCCTCGTGGTGAAGGTGTCTTGCCTCAGGAAGAGCAAGTGGAGAGTTGGAATGAGAGCCTCCAGGAGGCTCGAAAAGAGGGCAGCGGGACCGGAGCCGCGAATCTGATCCGGTGGGTGGTTTCACTGGGAAACTCGGCTGAATCACCGAAAAAAGACGCTGAGAACATAGAACATCTTTGAAACCAGCCCTGACCCCGCTTCAACTTGATCGACTCCTCAATGTCCTATCAAGGGAGTCACAAAGGGGCGGATGATCATCCACTGCAAACATGTGCAAACTATGTATCCCAGTATCCCAGAACAGTGGTCACCAGCTCCCGTCAGCTCGGTTCAGCCCAGCGTCGACTTGAGGGTGATGGAGGTCTGCTTGGTCCTCAAAAGGCCCGCTCACGGAGCAGCTGAAAGGTCGGTCGAAAGCGACGTGCGCTCCAGCGGCGCTCCAGCGGCGAAGAAGCGAAGCAGCAAGTTGGAGCAAGAACTGCTATGGGCCATGGGTTTGAGGGGGGCCCTTTAGCGGCCCTTTGACATGAAATCCCACCTATTTTCACCTCCATGAACTGGAACCCCCACCACCGGTCCATGGGTCTGGTCCATGGGACTTGAACGGCGTGGATCAAGGGTTCTTGGACCCCGAACTGCTTTGGTACGAGTACCACCGGAGGCTCTGTCAGGCCCTGCGGGGTCCTCAAAACCTTCCCTGCTTCATTCATGGCACTTCCTCACCCGTCATCCCGACCGGCCAACCCCACCCCGCTGGCCCAACCCCACCGATCTCCGCTCCGCGCCGGAAAAAAGCCCTCCGCTCCTGCGTCCTCGCTCTTGGACTCGGTCGCACCGGTCCGACTGCCGTGGCTCTCCACCGGCGACACCACCACATCTGGGCGGAGGGGCGGGAGGGGCGGTCACGGGAGGTGGGAGAGCGGGAGACCCGAAAAGCGGCGAAGAATTGGACCCAGTGGCTTCAAGAGGTCCAAGAGGTTCGTGAAAGATCAGTTGTGCACTTCTTGGGGTGACTCAGACATAACTCCTAAAGCACCTCGGAGGGGGGTCAATAGGAGGACTGTGAAAGCCCTTTCAACAAAAAAAACACATCATAAAAACAAAACAAGTGCCCCAAGATGCCCCAAGTCTCTTCTTTCTCTTCTCAGTCTTTGGTTCTTTGTCCCTTTCTCCGCCCTTGCGCCCTTGCTCCACCTGGGGGCTCCAGGACAGCCAGCACCGCATTCCGGTGTTGCCCGGCGCGGATGTCACGCATGCCTTGTTGCACCTTGGAATCCGTCCAAAAAGCAAAGGATCGCACCAAAGATCGCACCATCTGGCAGGACCAAAAGGCTCAGAAGGACGTGGAAGAACCCTCCTAATCACTTGAAAGTAGAAATCCTTCCTTCACAGAACTGGCCATCCAAAGGCCTCAGACTTCCCCCATAGTCCTCCCATACGAAGCGTCCCCTTCGTGTCGAAACTCGATGTCTGGCTCGACCTCCGAAGCGTCTGGCGTCTCCTTTTTGGCCGTCTAAGACAGAAACCAGACCTTCGTCTTGCCATCGGATGCATCCAGTTCCTGGAAAACCTGAAACCTGGAAAAAGGAATAAACCTGATTAAACCTGAAACCTGGTTTCAGTGAGACGCACAAGTTTGTACGACCACCGCTTTTCTTTGTTCAGCGAGCTCTGCGACCATGGGCCAGATCTGGCCTGCTTTTGTATCGACATGGCTACATGGCGTTGATTGAATTTATATATATATATATAGATTGATAGTTTGATGGACACCAAACTCCTCAACAACCGGAGGACGTCCCAGTAAACATTTTCTCAAAAAGGGCCCAGCAAAAGGATCAAAACATATCAAAACGATGCTAAGTTAAAATATATACGTAATAAGTCTGCATTCAAGCGTGGAAATTTGTGGGGCATCAAATCGTTCAAATCAAGTGCCAAACGGTTGAGGCACTCGCAGCAGATGACTACACATCAAAAAGCTAGGACCTCCATTGCTAGCCAGTTGCAAGTAAAATCCTTCCTTACACTTACACTTGCTACAAAGTTTGGCCTCCATGGAATGGGCAGGAAATCTTGAATCTTCACCACCAATCTGCTCGTTGTTGGTCCCCCGAACCAGGTGGCCTCTCACTCCAACCACCTCCACCTCCAGCTCCGACCCTTTTCGACCCCACCGGCTTCCCACCTTGCGTGCCGCCCCGATCATCCGGGTCAGCGCGTTGCTCTTCTCTCCCTCCTACCGAGCCGAGGTCAGCCGTCGTCGATCTCGACGCTCGATGCGGGCGTTCTCGGCGCTGGGCGGCGAGGGCGGCGGGACAGGCGAGGGCGATTCGGCGCGCTGCGCAGCTCCGAGCGGCGCCTTCTCTGAGGCGAGAGGTGGGCTACGTGGCCGCACCAGCACGGTGGCAGCCTGCTCAGCCTCAGCCAATTTTCAGTGGGTGCTTGACAATCGGTTGAGATCGTCCGACCATAGAAACCATGGTTGCTGGATGCATTATCCCAATCCGTCACCCAAACGAGGCCTGGCGATGAAAACGAATACAAAGAAGCCGCGCGTCTGGCCGGCCTTCCCGCGCACAACAGAAAGTCTGACCTACAGTACAAACATCCTTGACCGTTCAAGAAGCAGTTGGGAGTCCAATGGAATAAGCATGCATTCACAGGTATCCCGTATCCACTGGTCTTACCAGGGACGAAGCGTGAAACAGCAGGACCGGTGGATCAGTGAAGCCGGGCGCCTGTCCCACCCTTGAGGAGACACGTCCCCAGGCGGGTGCCTCCTTGTCCTTGCACCAGAAGCAAAGGAACAACAACGGACACACGCCCCGCGACCCCCGCAGCAACCCCCCTGGCCAGGGTGTTGCACGTGACTCTCGCACGCCACCGAGGGAGCACAAGGGACAACAGGACAGGACAGTGATGCAGGTCCAGACTCTCGCAGCCACCATGGGGATCGGGTGCCATTTACATCAGCTATAGGCTATAGGCCGCGCTCAC